TGTTATTCCAATTCTTCCCCATTTGCCACCCCCCCCAACCTGGTACTCCCCTTCCCTCCAGCAATCTTCTCACTTTATTTCATGTCTGTGGGTTGTGCATATAAGTTCTTTGGATTCTCCATTTCCTATACTATTCTTAACATCCCCATGTCTGTTTTGTACCTACCAATTATGTTTCTTAATCCCTGTACCTTTTCCCCCATTCTCCCACTTCCCCCTCACAGCTGATAACTCTCCAGATGATCTCCATATCTATGATTCTATTTCTGTTCTAATTGTTTGCTTAGTTGGTTTTTTTTTAGATTCAGTTTTTGATAGTTGTGAATTTGTTGCCATTTTAATATTCATAGTTTTGATGTTCTTGTTCTTACATAAGTTCCTTTAACATTTCATATAATAATGGCTTTGTTATGGTGAACTCCTTTAGCTTTACCTTGTCGGTGAAGCACTTTATCTGTCTTTCCATTCAAAATGATAGCTTTGCTGGATAGGATAATCTAGGTTTTAGATCCCTGCTTTTCATGACTTTGAAAACTTCTTGCCAGTCCCTTCTTGCCTGCAAAGTTTCTTCTGAGAAATCAGCTGACAGTCAATGGGAACTCCTTTGTAGGTAACTCTCTGCTTTTCTCTTGATGTTTTTAGATTCTCTCTTTATCTTTAACCTTTGGCATTTTAATTATGATGTATCTTGGTGTGTTCCTCTTTAGGTCCATCATGTTTTGGACTCTGTGCTTCCTGGACTTGTATGTCTATTTCCTTCATAGCAAGAAAGAAAAATTAGGGAAATTTTCTTTCATTATTTTTTCAAATAAATTTTCAATTTCTTGCTCTTCCTCTTCTCCTTCTGGCATCCTTATGATTTGGATGTTGGTACCTTTGGAGATGTCCCTGGGGGTCCTTATACTATCCTCGTTTTTTTGAATTTTTGTTTCTTTTTTCTGTTCAGGTTGAGTGCTTATTTCTTCCTTATGTTCCAAATCATTGATTTGAATCCTGACTTCCTCCCCTCCACTGATGGTTCCCTGTAGATTTTTCTTTATTTCACTAACTGTAACCTTCATTTCTTCCTTTATGTTGCCATACTCAGTGAGTTCTTTGAGCATTCTGATCACCAGTGTTTTGAACTCTGCATCTGATAGGTTGGTTATCTCCATTTTGTTTAGTCCTTTTTCTGGGGTTTTGTTCTGTTCTTTCATTTGGGCCAAAGATATTTCTTTGTCTCCATAATTTGGCAGCCTCCCTGTGTTTGTTTCTGTATATTAGGGAGAGCTGTTTTGACTCCCTGTCTTAGTAACATGGCCTTTTGTAAAAAAGGCACTTGTAAATTGTGTATGGTAGAGCCTTAGAACAAGGATGGGGCAACTTGCTTCACTGCTTTGTGGCTCTGTGTGGGGGGACGGCTTGGTTGGGGGGACAATGCTGCTGCCTGGGTTCCGTAGGTTTCCCCCGGCACTCACTCCATTCCTAGTCATTTTACCTACTTCCTATACATAACTGGCATCCTTCCAGATGTTGCCCTGGTGCTGAGTCCTATAGTGTGTGGGTTTGTGTATGTTCTAAATCCATGTGGGCCCTTTAAGCTGAGTCTCCTGAAAATATAGCAGTTTCTTCTGCCACCCCAATCCCCACTGGTTTTTACAGCCAAAAGTTTGGGGATTTATATTCCCAGTGCTGGAACCCTGGGCGGTAGAGTCTGGCCTGGGGCTGAGATCACATGCTCCCAATGTATCCCTCCCGATTTTTATCCACCATATGTTTATCCACCATATCGATTCCACTGCCACTGCTGCCTTTCTGCTCTACTCTGCATCTCTGCACCTCTGTCTGTGTCCATGACTCTACCCTTCCTACCCGTCTGGATGAATATGACCTCTTTAAATCCTTGGTTGTCAGACTTCCATAAAGCTTTATTTTCTGATGGTTCTGGGTTTTTGATGGTTACTTGTTTTGAGGCCAAGTTGTAATTTGTTCTACTGTTGCAAAAGGAGGTGAAGCGTGTCTACCTATGCCTCCCTCTTGACCGGGAGTTCCATTACTTTCTTTTTCATTACAGCCATCCCCATGAATGTGAAGTGGTACTCATCGTGGTTTTTATTTACATTTCCCTAGTGACTAATGACATTGAGCATCTTTTCATGTGCCCATTGACCATTTGTCTATGTGGAGAAATATATATTCAGATTTTTTGCCAATTTTTAAAATTGGCTTATTTGTCTTTTTATTGTTGATTTGTAAGCCTTCTTTATACATTCTGGATACTAGACCCTTATTAGTTATATAATTTGCAAATATTTTCTCCCCTTCTATGGGTTATATCTTTGCTTTCATTACAGTGTCATTTGAAGCAAAATAGTTTTTGATTTTGATGATATTTAATTTTTTTCTTTGTTTCCTTAAGCTTTAGGTGTCATCCCTAAAACACAATTGTCTAATCCAAGGTCTCGAAGTTTACACCTATATTTTCTTCTAAGAGTTTTGTAGTGTTAGCTCTTGTGTTTAGGGCTCTGACAGACTTTGACTAGACTTGAAGTGTGAAGCCACATTTTGAATAATGAGAAGAGGAAATATGTATGTTTCTCAAGGTTTCTGCAGCTCCAAAAGTGATTTGCAAAAAAAACAGAAAACAAAACCGAAAAACAAAATTTGGAAATACCCGAAGTACCCAATTATAAAGGAATAATAAATTCCATATTGACTGAATGAGGTGCTAAGCTGCAACTAAAATAATACTTATGAAAATTATGTACAAATAAGGAAAAATACTTATGAAAAATGTTTAGTATTAAAAGCAAATTCTATTATACAGTGATTACAGATGGGTAAAATTGTTAATTACTGTGAATAAGAGCAATCAACCCTCCCGGTTTGCCCTGGACTATCTGGGTCTTAGCACCAAAGGTTCTGCATCCCAGGAAACCTCTCAGTCCTGGACAGAGTGGGGTGGTCAGTCTCCCTGCTGTGAACAAACTGCAAGGGATGATTGGAAGAAGGTCATAGCAAGGATTTTTATTCTCTTTTAACAATAGACATTAACAGTGTCTCAGATTATAAGGAATTATCTGAGATTAGATAAAACCAATGAGACCTTAAAAATGAATAAAATAAAATTCTTCTCTTTCCTCTTGTTCAAAGCAGCAGTGCCTGCCATATATTTGAGTCATGCTTTGGAATGCTGAGAGTGAGGAATGCATTGTTAATGACCTGTTCCATGAAATTTTTCTTGGGAAAATGTGTGCTTAAGAATATAATGACATGAATGGTCAATACCCTGACACCTCACAGTTCATACCCAAATTGGGGTTGTGTGAATATGAATCTAAGAGCCTCAAATGGTCTGACGTTACAAGAACAAAGGAGACTGGAGAAACACCATGTTGGAATTGTGTTGCAACTAAGAACACAAATATCATTTTATTTATTTAAGTCTAATTCCAAGGACTTTACATAAACAGAAGAATGTTCTACCTTCCTTTTTTCTAATTAGAGGAAATAGCTTTCATGAGTGACCCCTAACAAAATGGAAATATCACAAAGAATGGAAATTATATTTTCTACATACCTATCAAAATCTGACTGCACTCAACATGTAGCAAATGCTCAAATGTAGTTGATAGATTCTAGTGACATCTTCCAAGGTTAACATTCCCTCTTCATAGACTACTAGCATCTCTGAATATGAACAACCATCGAGAAGTAGGGTAGCGATTGCCTGAGGTTTGGCATTGTAACTATTTATATTATTTTCAAGCATGATCTTTCTCAGAATGTCTGTAGCACTTAGTGTCTGCATTATGTGATCTGACAACTAATTTTATATTTATGGTGTAAGTAGTTTTTCAAAGATTATGAATGTCTAAGTCTTTTTATCTGCAAATAGGAAAGATTTCTGATTGTTTTGTATCTCTCTCAAAAAAATTTTTGGTGCTGCTCAGAGAGTAAGTGCTTGATAAAACCTGTTGACTTAGCTCTAATAGTTTATGTGGGGATTGGACAGGCAATTTGATTATTTCAAATATTGCAGGATTTGAATAAGAAGATCTAGGTATGAAAAAAAGGCTCTCAAAATTGCTACCTGTAATCATTGAGAAATTACTTTTACTCATTTACAAATTACTTAGCCTCTCTGAATCATTTGTAAAATAGGGATTTTTTTCCTTAATCATGGACAATCAAATGCAATTATTTGATAAAATACTTTGTTGACTGAAAAATATTCTACAAATGCAAGTGTTGATTATCATTTGAGATGTGGGTACTCATGGTATTTTTTTTTCATTCTTTCTTCTATTGCCTAAAGGTAGACAATGCAACTAAGGGCCTAGAGCAGGAGATAGGGAGAGTGAAGACAGATAGAGATGTGGCCATGTATAAGCTGTGCTGTTTATACAAAAAAAAGGATTGGGTGTTGGCCAACTTAGAGCCTCCCTGATGGGGAGGGGGAGTTGGGGTGGGGCCTCTAAGAATGTGCCACAGTGTCAACCCCATAGAAAGATAGATGAAATAGGCTCCTTATTGCCGCTCATTATTATTATCTTCACTTTCCTTAGAACAGTGATGCAAAGGGAACTCCACCATAAATGTAGATGTGGAAGGAATGAGAGAGAGTTTAGGGATGGCATGGAGCAGTTATTTTTCTTTTTCATAAGGTGTAGAATCTCCCTACTGAGAAGGGAAGAAATGAAAAAAACAAAAACAAAAACAAACCCCTACTGCTGCTACTACAGCTTAGCCAAGGCAAAGGCTGGTGAGAAATCACAATCAGCCTTTTTTTTAAATATAAGAGAACTGCCCCAAACAAGAAACACTACGTCACAATCTGCTGCAAGAGCTATACTCTCCGAATGAGAGAAACAGAGATGGAGCTGTGGTAACTCTATGCAAAGACCAGAGAGAGATGTGGAGGATGCATGCAGAATGCCTCAAGAAATGAGGGGAACTATGTCTCTGGAAAGCTATGAACCCCAATGCTTAGCAAAGGGATACAGAAAACAAAAAACAGCTTAAGAGGCATTATCATTTTCTATTGGTGAGGATTCCTGATCTTGAGGAGGTTCTGGAAAGTTTGTTTCTGTTTCTTCTTCTTCTTCTTGCACTGGAATAATTTCAATGTCTTCTTCATTCTTTGACTGGACAGCTATTTCAGTCAACTCTACCATTTCTTCTTTCCTTTCAACTGCTTGTTCTTTTTTGTCTTCTGCCGACAGGAGAACTACATCCTAGAATACACAAAATTAAACAAATTTTTCTTGATCTTTACCATTGACACATTTCTCAACAATCTCTACAAATATTTATCAAATACCTCCTTTTTTATGTTATTTATTTTATTTCCTATGTGCTTCCAAGTGCCATTTTCTAAGTGCTCACATTCTTATCAAATCATTTATCAAGACTCATCTTCAAGGCCAGCAGATTTGCCACTTTGCCTGGAATGATCACAGAATATTTGGGAAAGAATACTGCAATAATAGAGGCACTTAGAGTTTCATTTTGATTTGCCTCTATTGGAGATAATTTGGGGGAAATCATTTTCTATCTTTAATGCTACATTTCTCATCTGCAAAATGAAAGAGTTAGTGATGATTCCTAAATTCTGTTCTAAATCTGACATTCTATAGTTCTGAAGTAGTTGATAATAGGTATTACTATTTCTGAATTGTGGAGCTTCTCTGAACCTATTGTTCTGGAAGAGGGATTAGATAAAAAGGTGGTATATATGGAAAGTAGGTGGAAGCACGGAACACCGAAAAATAAAATGGAAGAACTAGTGGCTTCCTTTAGCCTTCAACCTTCAGCTACTGGCTTTTTTTTTTTTTCTTTTTTTTTTTTCTTTTTTTTTACACATTACATATGCAGTCAAGTTGGATGCCTGAAGTCAAGCAAAAGTCAAGGTTAGTAAGAGGGTAACACATTATAGAATTGTACTCTGTCTAATCTATAGACTTATTTCAAATTTCCAGACACTTTCCTTCACAATGAAGCCATTTTTTCATGAAATTCCCAGGCTCAAAGTCTCATTGCATTACATTCTCCTATAAAGAATCCTTTTTTTTTTTTGTAAGACATTATTTTCCTAGAGGAAAGCTGTAGGCAGAAGGGCTCCTACTTACAGCTTTGGTTCTCGAGCACAGCTTTTTCCAGTCATTCTCAATAGTGCCGGCTGACACAAGTTTCTGGAAGATGGCAAAGATCAGCATCACTGCAAAAAGGCTCTGAAGAACAACAGAAAAGTGAGGGTGAAAATGTAGTAATAAAAAAAGAAGAATATGGGTGCTGCTCAGTAAATGACTTTTGATGAAAATTAAATGATTTAAAGATCAGTTCTCTAGGTGAGTAATGACTAACAATAACAACTATTAATACTAGTATCTTTATAACCCTAACCCTTAGCACAGTTCCTGACACACAGCAAATAGTTAACACATGCTGTTGATAGAAAGAAACTAATAATTACTTGAAGAATCAATTCTAGGTAGGAAAGAATAATTACTGAGCCGCAAGTTAAATTGTATCCAGCTTTAGTTAGGTGGTATCACACCAAGGAAACCTCTTCACTCTTGGGAGATACATTTTTTTCTTCTTAAACCTCTACACTGAAAACTTCTTGAGGTGGGGGTGGGTGGGGCAGGGGAAAGTGGAAACAAATGTATTTGAACAATAAAAATATTTGAAAAATAATTTTAAAAAATTCCTTGGGGCAAGATATTTATAACAATTTAGGTAGTTCTTCAATGTTCAGCTTAATCAATAATAACTATTAATAATAATATCATTAATGTTAAAGCAAATACTTATATAGCACTTTTTATGTGCCAGACACTGTTATAAATGCTTTGCATGTATTAACTTGTCCCTCAAAACAGCCTTACAAGTATTGTTACCTTACACATTTGACAATTAAAATTCAGGCAAAGTGTGGTTAATATTTTTGCCCAAAGCCATGAGGCAGCAAGTACCAGATGCAGGCAGTCTGGATCTAGAGTTAATGCTCATAATAAAAGTACCACACCTCCTCTCTGAAAAGAAACCAAATTTCACACTTACCAAGAACACAGATCGAATTTTGTAACAATAGTTCACATTTTGAGCGTTTTTCTCAGTGGGGTTAGGTTGGTCACAGTTGTGTATGTCAATAATTTGTTCAGGGGCTTTATCAGAGTCCAGACGCTCCATTTTTAAAAAATGGGAAACTGTAACATTAAATATGTCCATGGTCAAAAGGATTATTCCAGAAATGGCAGCAAAGAGGCTCATTGAGTTCATTATCATTTTCCCTTTGACCTGAAATGGAGACATAAAGGAATCATTAATTGGGTTTGATTTCCACTTGGAGAATTTAAGCTCAGAGGGAATTCCAGGTCTCATGCCTCTGACTCACAAAGGTCCTACACCAAAATAGTCCATACGACACCGCTCTCAGTTGTTTTTAGTCTCTGTCACTGTAAAATAAAAACCATCTCCCGGTCTGTCTCAGTCTTCCCCATCTCATTGCGCGCCATCGCCATCCAGTTTATCAAGAAAAAATTGTAGGAGTGATTCCTAATTCTTATAAACTGTCGCCTTGCGCTTCTTTTTACTGCTACTGTCAATGTCCTGAGGGCATTTAATAAATATTTGTTGGGTAAATAAATATTCAGACCATATCTGTCTGTGTAAGAAGGTAGAGGGGAGAGAAATAAGGAGGTTGTCTCATCTCAGTGAAGTGGAATGGTATTGGGGGTATAGGTAGGGAAAGAGCAGACAGAATCCTCTAGGTCTAGACCATCAAGTGAAAACAAACAACAGCAGGAATAACACTACCACATACTTCCTACTGACATTGGTTGCAATCAGTCCCTGCAGCCATCTTTTAAAATACCATTAGGGCTGATGACCCTGGTAGCATTAAGTAAGAGGATGGCAGTGGGTGTGTTCTACCTTGCAAGGACAATAAAATGTCAAAACAGGAAAATGTATACAACAAGTACCATAATGATATGAGATTATTGATCATTACTTTAAGACACATATGTTTCATCCCTGACTGTGTGACCTACAGATGGCAAGTCAGTAGGACTGGCTGTATTTGGAGAATAAAACAATGTGACCTTCACAAAGTTTTTTTCCTCAAAACTGAGTTTGTCAGACCTCCTCTAGAGAGGAGCATCTCAATTCACTCAGACCTTCACTGACTTTGGAAGTGACTCAAGTCAGTATTAGCTTAGTAAGTGTAAAAAAAAAAAAAAAAAAAGTGCTGCAAGGGAACTTGCTGGTGAGCTCTTGGCCCACAGTATGGGGAGCTCTTCCTCGGTGTAAATGTGTCCCTATGAACAAGGCTGCTCTGTAGCTCTTTATGGCCTCGGAAGCACTTTCCTGTATTCTACTCCATTTCGTCTTAGCGACAATTCCATATGGTTGCAAGGACTATTATCTCCATTTCACAAGTGCAAATTCAGAGTTGCATGGAGGCAAACTGAGCTCAAAGTTACTACTCAGTGTTAACTAGGACTTGAGTTAACGGTAGCATTGATTAGACGGTTGTCCTAAATGGTGACCTGAGAGGAATGACACAGCTTTTGAAGTGATCTGGTAGTCTCACACAGCATTTGTCAGTCATAAGATCATAAGCATGCTCTTCACCCATCTGCCTTTAATTCTGTTTCCCTGGGTGCATTTCAGGTATATTCTCATTTCCAACTTTTTCATGAATACAATTACAGCAGCGCTGTAGAGGATCGTTTGCTTTTTAGGCTTGAGAGAACTCAATGTTACTGTGATTTCAAAGGTCTTTAAGGGTCCTTGTTTTCAACTGAGAAAATATTTCTTAGATATGTGGGTGAGAAGAACATATGATTACTTGCCAGACTCTTCCTGGAGTTTGCCTTTGCTGCTGCCAGGAGTGATCCAGAAATGATATACTGTAAAAAGAGAGGAGGTGGGTGGGGAAGAGTGTGGGAAATGGGAGAATAGGTGGAGGGGAAGAGAGGCCCAGGGGGAGAAGGAGATTACTTTTTTATTAAATCATTTCTATTGTTATTCTATTAAAGTCCCACTTTTTCCCCCTCTGCCCATCCCACCCCTCTGGTTCCCACAGTCAATTCCCACACTGTTGCCCATGTCCATGGGTCATTCACACATGTTCTTTGTCTAGTCCCTTCCCCTTCTTTCCAGAATTATCCCCTGTCCTCCTCCCTTCTGGTCACTTTCAGTCTGTTACTTTTTAACATTGAGTACTGGTTGTAAAAAAGATATCCACACTTCCAACCACTTTCACTAAACTCTCCAGCCTTTTTTTTTTAATTGGCTTCACTTATTTTTCAGTGGTCCTGTTTCTCTTTTATTCAGGTTCAACTACATTCAATCCATGCCTTTTATTCAAGCAACTGGAGAGCTGTGACTAGGGATATTAAAAAAAATCAAAGAGGCAGAATTCACATTTCCATCAATTAATAGATGAAATGTGAATTTAAATTATTTTTAGTTTTTCTTTCTTTAAAAAAAACCGTAGAATTGCTTTCTGTTGTACACAATGATTACCTGACTGACACAAATGAAGAATGAATTAATGTAGGAAATACTTGGCCTGAATGCCATGGGCACCCCATTAAAACGTTGGCTGCTACAGGAAGTGATGGTGATTATTTATCATTTTCCTTTTCTACTGTTCAGGCTGTAAAATGGAGAAAATTCTTGTTCTATCCCATTTCCCCTTGTTTTGAAAATTTCAATCTTGGACTCATCTTTATCATAGTGCCTAAGAAAATGTAATGGTAATTTAAACACTACTGCTCCACACCACAACCAGAGAGGCTTACAAGCTTAGAAAACATGCACACAGGGCAGCTGCTGTCCTGATAAGCAACAGGGGATTTATTTGGGATGGGACAAATTCCACTATATGCTATAATAACTAAACAAAATCGTAGGTGAGAAGGACCAGTTGGAAGTGGGATCCTCCTACCCCTTTTTGCTTTCTGAAACACCATGTTATACAGTCCAAGTATCTAGTGATCTTCTCCCCTGATCCCTCAAATTGACTTTGGAGAGGTCATGCTTTGAACAATCTTCCTTCCCTGTATGGATTGTAGGGCATCTTTCTCCAACTTCACATGAAGCATGATGACTAACTCAACCATAGCATTCACACTCAATTTAGTCAACTCTTTATGCTATGTTACTTTAACCAGATAACCCATTTCCTGCTCAACTTCCCTCAACACTGAAATAATATGCTATATTCCTGTGGAGCTTTTCAACATTTTTGCCTGCCCCACTCCCCAAATGACTGTGAATTTTTACTCACCATAATGCCTCCCCAGAGAGGATACCACACAGTGACACAGATGGGTGCATAGACCTCCATTTGGATCATCAAGAGACCACCTAGGGCAATGTGGAAGAGCCCATTCATAATCTGGACAGCCTGGGGAGAAAATAGGGGCACTGGTGGATGAACCGAAATCATCTTCAAGTCAGAAAGCAAAGGCAAGCCTGGAAGCCTGGTTTTGAGCCTATGTAAAATGCCCAAAGAAAGTGGTAAAGGTGCCAAGGCATTGTCTTGTTCAGATCCATTTTCTCTATCACCTGGGACATTTCTAAGGCACATATACCTAGAATGATAGTGATGAGCTGGGATGGGTGATCCTTAAATATGCAAGCCTCAAAATTGAAAGGGGACATAAGATCACCGGGTTAACTTCTCTGTACATCCCTGATTTGACCTATTGTTCAGACATAAAGAACACCTCAGGTGGGATCAGATACCCTCACATTGGGTTGAGTCCTGTACTTGGCCAACAGCATCTGCTTCTTTAGGCCAGAGAATCCCTATAATATGGAACAGAGGGCAACTGACTCACCCCCATAGCCTTGGATTCCCTCATGAAGAAGGTTTGTGTGGGGCCCACCACAGGATCCACCTTCCTGGGAATGTTTTGAACAGGTTTCATGGCCATAGGGCCTTTCGTAGGATGTGCTGGGAAAGCTCCACTCATTGAATTTCTGGGTGTCGTCATCTTGCCTTCAAAACTCCTAAAAATAAAACAAATAATAAAATGAGAAGAGAAAGAACAGGATTTCAGCAGTCTTTTATGTTGTGTCATTCAACCTGAATAGTTTTTATCTATTCTTTCCATGGGTGTCATTGAGGGTAGATATGGCCCCCTCCTTCTGCTTTGGATCTGAAGCAAGGCCTACTGCTGTGTTCCAAGGTAGGATCTGGAGGGAGCATCTCAGGCAAGGAATATGGGCCAGGGGTCACTGTCAGTATTCGTGATAACTATGATGAGAGCATATTTTATCTTAGTAGAGAACACAATGCTCATATATCTGTATGTTCTGTTTGTCTCTCATCCCTGGATGCTTTTCCTATGCTTTGATATTGGAAAATGTATTTTGCGTTGACTTTTCCTTGTACCTTTGCTTACCTGCTTTTGCACATTTTTAATGGACCAGAGGTATCATGACAAAGTATAATGATGACTGTCCTTGGAATCAGAGGGGGCTGATTCTAGTCTGCCCTCTACCACTAACTCTGTGACCTTGACCTAATCACTTCAAGGGGCTTCTCTTAGGTTGAATGTAAGCCCATAGCCTTGTGACTCAGATTGCTAGTTTAAATCATGATTCTTTCACTTGCTGTGAAGCTTTGGGCAAATTTTTTTAGTCTCTGGGACTCAAGTTCAACTGTAATATGGGAATAATAATAATTCTTATCTCATAGGGTTACTATCATGGGCTGATGGTCTGTGGGTGACTGGCATCCTTTTATTCAGGTGTAGCTCAAATGTCGGATCCTCAGAGAAGTCTTCCCTGAACCCTCAATCCATGATCCCTCCTCCTAGTTACTCTCTCCTGCAACATCCCAGTGTATTTACTTCATGCACTTACCCTGTGGGGAATTACCTTGATTATTTTCTTACTTGTTTATAGTCTGAACCTCCCCACTAGCATATATATTCCATCAAAGCAGAGACTCTTTTCATTCTTGTCCAATATCTCAGTAGTTTCTTAGTAAATGTTTAAAGAAATAAATGTATACAAAGTACCCATGTCTGAATAATTATTAGCTATTTTTCATTGCTGTTCTTGTTTTTAGTATTATTACCTTTATGAGCATTGTTTCCATCTGAAAAATAAACACAATACCACTTTCACAGAAATTTGTGAGAAATAGGTAAGTAAACATGTGAAAGTGTCTAGTACAGAAGGAGGAAGTAGTAAATGCTGTTTATTCTTAGAATTTATGATTTATTCATTTCTGAAGTTAGTGATTATTACCAAGGTCCTTCCCAGCTCTAATATTTTAAGATTGCTCAACCTTCTTCACCTTGGCTTTCCTTTTGGTATTCATTTGTTTATGTTAATTACTTACATGAATTCTACTAGGTGTTTTTCTGGACCCTGGAAATCTCTCTTCAGGGACATGTCATTGTTCTTGTCTCTCCTGACTGCAAGTCATGTGAGGAGGCTTGAAGACCAAGGCTATCTGTCCACCTTGCTTATCTTACTGAAGTCACACACAGCCGGGCAACTGCAGGTGTGCCATGAAACAGGTGATTGGGAGTCCCCCGGGCCTCACATTTGTACCCACTTCATAGTAACAGAGATTTCATACCTGACATTTCATTTAAGCCTCACAGAGTAGACTAAGAATAAGTCACTGCCCTTATTTTGTTTAGAAGATAAAGGCATAGAAAAGTTAGGCAACTTGTTCAAAGTTTCATGACTAGTAGAGATTTAAAATGAGGACTTGGACCTATCCAACGGGGTGTCTATGGTACCAGGTCACTTGGTCCCCTGTGGGGAATAGGAATTCAGTCTATTTCATCAATGAATCTCTTCCTTCTTCCTCAGATAGATGAGTGACTATAAATCAATTGCAAACAGAATATCTGCCTGGGTTGAAGGGAAGAGAAGAGGCTTTGGGTGCTTTGCACTTGATTTTGCCTGATCTCTAGATTATCAGATGTCATGTGGTCTTGGGAATCTGGTTTATACCCTAAACCACCCCACAAGACAACCAACCAAAAATAATATATTAATGTAACCCAGTGGGGAGTTTACAAACTGAGTCTGAGTCTGGTCACCAGCCAGGATTTTTAGGGATATTCAGGGGAACCTCAGAAACCACTTTCTTCATCTGACAAATAAGGAAACTGTGGCCCAGGGATGGGACATGCCTTGTTAAAGCCCTTGCACTTAGTGACCAAGCCAAACTGGAAGACAGGCACCATGGCTCCGAGGCTGGCGTTCTTTGTGGTGCACCAAAAGCTAGACTACATACACATAGAGTTGTTCACTGAGTACCTACTGTGCGCCAGAGATAGTGTATATGCATGTAGTTCCAAATCTCCCAACACCTTGTAGTGAGGAGGACTTAAAGAGCAAAGGTCATCAATTCTCTAGGTGATTGAACTACTGTCATTTTTAATTTCTCCATATTTTTCAACTGCCTAAGGCTGTGTCTGTATTATTGGTGAGATAAACCGTTTATGTAAGCAAGGTCTGCTCGGGCTGTGTCTGCCGTGGCTAATGGCAGTCACGACCATTGGGGAGAACTATTTGCTCTGTTAAAACGATGCCTGGCGATGGAAATTTCTACAAAGACTTCAATAAATATTAATGTAAAATGGTAGTTTAAAAACACAAACATACTTGTTTCTATGTGTTTCTCTCCCTCCCTCCCTCTCTCTCTCTGTGTGTATAAAATGCCAGGAAATCATAGACTAACAGGGTAATGCAAAGTTACATTCTGTAGGAATATATAAAACTAGACTCCATACTCCTAAGGATATTGTAGATTCCTGAAACTTTGCCCTATCCCCTGCCCCCAAAAATTGTTCACAATTACTTAAACAATACCTCAAATAGTTATGCTTAAAGACTAGTTGGTATTCTAGTTGGAGTTACTGACCTCATTGATCAAACACGTGTTAACAACGGGATCTTACTTTCACTGAACTATATTGAAATCAGGGTTCAGTTTATCAGACACTGCCCCATTTTATGACAGCAACTTCTGCAAATCTCTCTTGACTTTTAAAAGGCACCACTGTTTCTGTTAATCCACTGAAGAAGAGCTCACAACTTTCATGGCTTTTGATTTGAGTTATGAGCTTGAGGTCCAATAATTCCATCATTTACTGAGAAGTTCAAAGCTTTTGTTACCTCGACTTCCCCCTTTGTTACTTCAACTTCCTCCTTTGCCACTCAAAATAGTTTTGCATTTTTATCCTTTCTGGCCTCCTGTGCACTTATCTCTGAGGAAGAATGTGCTTGCTTCCTTTCCCTCTGCTGGTGCACCTCAGCCCATCTTCTTCCACCGAGACTTTAGTCCTTCGGAGAAGTCGGTTGTTGCATCACCAGCCTCACTGTCTGTGATGCTGTGTAGCAGGGGCTAGTCTCAGCTCTGCTGCCTGCTACTTTTGTGATCTCTCTGTTGAAACTATTATTTTGAGAACATGACACAACTTGCAGTTTATAAAAGACTTAGCATTCAAAGAATAATTATAATCACTGGATTTTTTTTTTAATGGTTAAGATGTGCTGTGGTGTTCCCTAATCCCAAAGGCCCTTCCTTTAATCTAGCAGTGTCCCCTGCCACTGCCCCGTATCCCTTGTCCTTTTCCCACAGCTTCTTAAAAGCTTATGGTTCCACCCTCTTCCTCTACTTCCTCTCACACCCTCACTCATCAATGCTTCACAGCCAGTCACAGCCTGAGCCACTCAACTGAAACGGCTCTCTTCAGGGACTGTGCTGCAAAGTCACTGACCTTTCCTCAGGCATCATCCCTCAGGTTGCCGTATTCTGTTTCCCCTGTCACACAGGCTTCAAATGCTGGAGCCATTTGCTACTCTGCTCCTCTGTCTCCCATGTTCACTCAATGGCCGGGTCATGCCCCATCAGCCTCTGTAATGTAGCTTATCCTGCAGGTGGACCTTCTCTCTACTTCCAGTGTCACCTCATGCGTTCAATTCTCATTTCCTCTCTTGGTTTAAGCACAAAAATCTTGCTTTTCTGCCTTCAATCTTTCTTTTTCTAGCCCATCCTCTCTCCACCCATCTGTGATGGACTTGAGGCAGGGTTTGAGGCTCACTTGTATGTCTACCAACCCCCTCCAGAAATGTTAGCCTGTGATCAGACTCTCAAGTCACTTCTTACGTCATGGTCTTCCTGAGTTTGAGCTCTATTTCCGACCTGTCATTGCCGAGAGAGAGGCTCTTCCCAGTTCAGCTCTACCTAACTTCCTAAGCCCCATCCCACTGTTCCCCACCAGAGCTGGAGCCGCTGATCTGAACTTGCCTCCTGCTTTGTTCTCTGAGTCATCTCCCCTAAAAAATGCCCCTCCCACCCCTTCATTTTCAGTCAGACTCCCCAGAAGGTGGTCACATCACCCGAGGCCATCCCTGCTCTTCTCACCTATGGCAAGGACTTCTCTTTCAAAGTCATAGCTCTTTGCATTTTTTACTTGTCACCAATCATTTCCTTTCTATGTCATAGTGTAAGTTTTCTAAAGGAATGTAAATCACACAAGGACATGTCCTGCTCGTATTACATAGAGAATCCATGTCCTCTGTACTTTGAGCTCAGTGAATGTTAAAATGAGTATTACATTGAACTCCTTTCTCAGAGCAGTTTTATGAAATGCTCAGGACAGTGGACATAAAGTTCATCCTATCAGCGAGATCGGGCCATTTTATGGGAAAAAAGGGAGGGGAGTCACATTACAGATTGGTTTCAGAAAAGAGTTACGACGTGGTTAAATCCATTTTTGTCTCCCTTCATTAGAGCTTCCTCTCGTCTTCAGTGCCCACTCTTACTCTAAGCTTCTGTGATGGATTTGAGGCAGGATTTGGGGCTCATTTTGGTGTCTACCACCCACTTCCAGAAATGTTAGCTCATGAGATTTAACATCTAGGGATATTTGCACTTAGTGGGATATCTTTGGAAACAAAAGCATTTAAAGCAAGAGAAATAGAGTTATTTTCATTACAGGCACCACTGATTATTTTC